GCAAGGCATTTGGTCTGGCTGGAATTCGCTTAGGAGTGGCCTTTAGCAGTCGCGAGATTGCAGCGCTGCTCAATAACATCAAGGCACCATACAACATCTCAAGTCCAACCAGTGCCATTGCAATAGCAGCCTTGCAAGAAGAGAATCTGGCTGTGATGCGACAACACCGCGAGAAAATCCTCCAGCAACGAGACCGACTTCTTCGAGAGCTCCCACGCATCCCAGGTATTGGTCGTTTCCGAGGAGGGTCTGCGTCGAACTTCTTGCTAGTGGAGATCCTGGACAGACCGCTGGAAGACGGTGGACAACCAGACAACGTGACAGCTTTGAATGTGTACGAAACAATGGCGGGGCAACGAGGAGTGGTGGTTAGGTTCCGGGGAAAGGAATACGGGTGCACTGGCTGTCTGAGGATCACCGTGGGTACCGAGCAGGAAGTAGATCGATTCCTAGAGGAACTCAGGTCTGTCTTGGGCCGCCTTTACTCGGCCTCATCATCGCAAGGCTCGAAGGTCAATGGGTTGAATGGGGTCGACGAGGACAGTCGGAGTGAGGGGGAGCGCGAGGCGGCTGCCAACGGTGTGATATCATAGGGGTCACCGTGCATGCTCTAGCGGGTACCTAAGGCTGGTGGGTGGCTGGTGGAGGCTGGTGGCTGCTTGGACTTTTCTTTTTGGCAGATCCCATGGCTAAAAGTCCCCATGAATGGAAGGGCCCTTTGATGGCAAATGGACGGCTGATGGGCGTTGCATACCTAGACTTCCATAGACTTTCACAGCTATCCCCAAAACCGATAGAAAGCAAACAACACCCTTTCTCCTTGATCCTGTCACATCCTGCCAACACATCGCCCCTACCTTCTCTACGGCCGTCCAATCCAACACCACACCGCTTCGCCTCTCTTACTCTCTCGCTCTCACACACACGCACTCCCTGTGCAGATCTGCACCGATTTCCCTTGCAGCCTGGCGCTCGAGACACTGCGCAGGAACACCGAACCGCCCTCTAAAATCTATCGTCCTGAACTTCCTGCCTTCTATACGCCTCGCGATAGGCCACAACTTGGTCGCAATTCTGATACCTTATGCGAGTGACTGAGCGAATGGACATGCCGTGAAGAGATACAGCCGCTGCAGCCACCTGCCTGCCACATTCTGCACCTTGATCTCATCATCTGCCTTACATCTAGCTGTAGTCACCTCTTCTACTTTATTTTCGAGCCCCCGGATTGCTGCCCTTCCCCTCGATCGCCGCTCGCTTGTGCTCCTTTCATCAGCCCCCCGGCTGCGGTTGAATTGTGAATAAATCTGGTCAATTCACTACTCGGTCACTCCGTCTTCACTTTGGCTGCCCGATCTCTAAACCCTGCGCTAGCCCTCGGACCCTCACTTTTGGAGAAAACATGTTGATTGAGCTGAAGAGAAGGCAATTGATCGCCGCATAACAGTTTTGAAGATTGTCGTCTTTGGACGTCGGTGAATCATGGTCAAGGCGGATATTAAACGGGACTACTATGCGGACCTGGATCTGCCTCCTACCGCAGATACCGAAGAGATCAAAAAACAATTCAGACTTCTGGGTAAGACAAAGAACGGCCTGAACAGCTGAGCTGAACTCACAGCGCTGCAGCGAAACAATATCATCCGGACCGAAACCCTGGCCATGAAGTCGATGTCGTTCCCAAGTTCCAAGCCGTCCAAGCAGCCCATGAGATCCTCGGCGATCCGGTAGAGAAGGCCAAATATGATGCTGGTCGGGCAAGATTGGCTGCTAAAACCGCCGCTACTACTTCCTCAGCATATCCCCCCGATCCATATGGTTTCCCAAGACCAAACGATCCCAAATCGACTCCTACAGCAAAACAGCAATATCCCTTCCCTCCGCCTCCCAAGTCAGCGCAAACCCGTGCTCCCCGTCCGGCGTTTGCTCCGAAAAGTCAGCAACAGCAGGCCTCTTCTGGTGCTGATAAATTCAATGCTTTCACCCGGGGGGTACCACAGTCATGGGATCGGGCGAAGTATGACGAGGCCCGGGCAGAGGCAGCAAGAGTTTTTCCCGCCATGCGGCCTACATCATCCGCTCAACAAATGCCACCAAGATCCACACCGCGACAAGCCCCTACTGCCCCCAAACCCGGTTCTGGCTCGGAAATGCCATATGTGCCAAACGTACCGCCCACAAGTTTTCCGGGTCTATCTAGGACGGCCAGCGCAAGAAAATCAGACTACCCTGGGGTCGACCCGTCGCAATATCCTCGTTCGGCGTTTTCTTATGTCCAGGGCACACGTGGGCAGCCGCCCTCCAATCCACACATTCATGTCCAAGACAACCACTCCATGCGATCGCCTCCCGTTTCTAGGGCCAGGCCCGCGGTCAGTCCCCTACGACATGCCCGATCTTCTGATTATGACATGAGGAACGATCTTGGGGGTCGTCCGCCGTCAAGATATGCTGGAACTGGTGGGGAGCGAACGGACATCAATGGAGATGGTTTACATCGTTCGTCCAGTGTTCGCAATTCACCGATCGACGACCGAGGACCCTTTGGCAGGCCGTCAGCTCGCTATGAGAATATTCCTCGCCACCGGAGCGCTAGTCCAGGTGTGCGGAAGGCTGGAATACATGCAGATTTCTCAGAGACCTCGTCGAGCGACGAAGAACCGCGGCCCATGAATTCTAGGCCGAAGGCTGTCCCTCGGAGCAGACCACAAGTCAGAACAGGACTCAGTTACGATGCTGACCATAACCCGGGCCTGACAGGTCAATTCCCCAGTACTAACTATACTAGAATCGTCGATGACAGTCGCTATCAGTACCCGCCTCCCGATGCGAGGGAGCCGACGCGCAAACCGTTTCCGAGCATGACATCCCCAGATATTGAGGCGCCCAGGCCTAATGTGTTACATGATGATGGTGGAGGTTCGGATAAACCCAAGTATGCTGCTCCCTTTTTCTTGGATTCCCACACATGGTCTCGAAGAAATAGTCGCGATGGTCCTGCTCAAAGAGGATGTTCCTTCAACGGATTTCCTTCGTGGGCAGTCCCTTCGAGTGTCTTTCCGCAGACCACGCCTCCCCGGCCTCATAAGCAGAAGAGTGACACCCCTAAGGAAGGAGGCAGTCTTGATTTCATCCAGTCGTGGATCAATAGGACTAACCCAAGCGTCAGTCATGCCTCCACTCAACCGAAAGTTCAGACAACGTTCTCAGCGGCGGATTGGCATGACAAAGTAACAGCCGATGATATTTTTCGTGCGGATGAGTCTCTGCGCAAGTCACCCTCGAAGTCAAGTCGGACTGCAAGCAAACCCACGTCGCGAGGAAGAGCGCAATCGCGATCAGCAGAACAAGATCAAACGTCTCCGTCCGAGATCCCCAACGGTCATGGAGAAGATAAGTCGACAGCATTCCAACCTGGAAAGTTGGCCGATGACTGGGCCGCTAGGGCGTCCGCAAAAACGGCTCCCGGGAACCCGAGAGCAAGCCCCGTGTCCGATACCACGGACGATTCTAGAGATCGCTACATTGTGGTAGAAGAAGACGCAATGGATGTGGACACGCCGCCGGCCAACGGCAATAGGCCCCCTGCCTCGAACGGCATCAAATATCCAGTCAGTGCTGGACCGCCCCCTCCCGAACCGAAACGCCGATCCACGAACGGAGGAGTGGACCTGAAAGAATTCACTGAACAAGCCCCATTTGCGCCAACGTCGGCCGGTCTCAAAGGCATGAAAGAGGACCTCGTAACACACCTTCCATTTGAATCCCGAGCATCCAACGATGTCAACCTCAACCGTACCACGACTGCTCGCATCCGGGCCTTGAATCTCCCTAAACCACCCAAAGTTGTCACCCCGCCGGCCGAAGACCGATTGGATAAGGTCAATTTCGCGCAGTATGTTGAGAATATGGATAACTACATGCACGAGTGGAACAAATTCAACGCGAAGATGATTGAGCATTTTCGATCCAGGCAGGATCGTGTTTGCGGCACGATGAGCCCGCATTGGATTTCACAACCGAGCGATGGACCAGACGCAGACATCTTGGATGAAGAGGGCGCGGGCGAGAAGAAGGCAGGATATGGAGCGTACATGCAGTGGCTGAAGGACGATGCGCAGTGTCGGACCTGGTGGGAAGAGGCAAACGAAAAGCATCTACAATGTTTAGAAGATTTGGGAAGAATCAGGCGGGTTGCGAAGCGAAAGTTGCGACCTTCATGAGCGCAGCATGGATCCATGAATCCGGTACAGGCGAGCAAGAAGGGCGTGGCACGAAGTCGCGGCCGTTGATACCGCCAACCGGATGCCATGAATTGCTTTTTGAAGTAAGGAATTGGGCGCTCGGAGGATAAGATACCCTTGTTGCACTTATTGGCCTCGAGAGTGAGATGGATTAGACTCTTGCTGAGATAGTTTTAGGACACTCAGCATGTGTACAAGCACTTGGCATTTCCCTGTATTCTCTAAACAGCGTGTGAGAGATGCACACGCGGAGTCTGCGGCAAGTTCCGCCATTTAAAACAATAATAAACTTCTCCAAGCATCCACCAAGCATGCCAAGCAGCGGTCAAGCTTTGCTGATTAAGTTCCGGGCAGTGCTTGTTTGTCGGTGGTCAGATTCCTATCTAGTCTTGGCCTAACTCTAGGGCTAAAGTTTTGACCATGCCGTCCAACCTATCGCCGACTTCAATTGGAACACTCGTTGCTTGTGACTTCCCTGCTCAGTGCTCACTGCGTCGGATGACTGGATAAATGTTAGTCTTCCAGCTAGGCCGCGCAATTCCGCTTTAGCCATGGGTCCAAAACTTGGAATGTGCCAGGAGTTTAAATTGACAGTTCAGCTCCAGCTCCAGCTTGTGCTCTTTTCTGCTTCTTGTTCTCCTCTTCTTCTGAGGAAATAAGCAGTCTTTTCGACGCCACTGTTCTCTCCAAGACGCTCACTCGTATTTGACAGGCCGTACAAGCCATACACAGACTCTTAGAAGGATATCCACCACAATGGACGTTGAAAATCAACAACAGAAAATCCAGGCTCCTGAACCCCAACCCGGAGCTGACAGTGCTATCTCTCAACAGCCTGTGAGTTGCAATGTCGTCGTTTATTGATATAGGATGCCTGATAGGCCTACCCTGTGCGATCTGGTGTTCTATTGCTGCCTTTCAATACCCTTGGTCCAACTTCAAGCAGGTGAAACGTCTACTGACTCCTTCCTACACAGGCCGCGCGCGAATCAATGGATCCTAGTGGAGTTAGCAACAGAGTGGGTCTTCGAGGCGGTGGTGAGGGTGAGGACATTTGCTGTGGCCCGTAAGTCTTATAATTCCTGCCGATTACGTCGCAATTACACCAAGTCTAGGTAAATTGGATACTGATACACATCATACAGGTGTGCCGGATTTTTGTGCTTTGAATGCTGCAAGGATTGCTGCTAGACTCGCGATGATATCGGGTAGCAGTGATGCGGACAATTGCTTGGAGAACATCGCGATGTTATCACATGCGACTGACATTCGATACTCAACCCGGCTACCCCGTTTTCGCGCTCTGAACCATTTCAATCAGCATGCACTTCAAACGCTTTCCGAACTCCAGACTTCAAGGTGCATAGGAGGCTCTCGGGGTTCGCGGGCTCTCTAGATTCATGTCTACTCGCAACTTCTCTTCTCGCTCCCAAGCTCTTCCATCGTGGATTGGGTGCATGGCCACACCTTGCTGTTTTCTACTGAAGACGTCAAGGCCGTGTTGCTGGACGATCTGGCAACCATTGCTCATAGTTTCTTTATGCACTTGCGGACTTGACCCTCGGCAAGAGCCTATAACTCCATGGATCCCGCTCGTCCCCCACTAGCCAGGTTGCCCCAGGATGCGACTGATAAGCGGTTCCCACTTTCGCTGAGGAGCAAGGAGGTGGTTTGCTTGTCTCATCCTTCCACTTGCGAGCCATATCATTTGCATATGATGAAATCGTTCTACGATCCTGCATCCCTACCGGGGACCCAGGGACAGCTTCTTCTCAAATTCCTCGTAAATGTCCCACAAAGTGGAAAGTGTAGCATATGTGCCCATCTCACTCTGTCGTATTGGACGTCTTCCTCTCACACCATATTGGGAGGCTCCTCTTGTCCTCGCTAGGGTTTTGCACGCTTTATGGTCGTGCGTACTAGTCCCTACGAACAGGGTAAAAGCTCCTAGATGCCAAGCCGATTTCCTCGTGTTTGTTCATACCACAATATTCAGCACGGCATCTTAACTTCTCCAAAATCTATTACCGTTTCTAGAGCTAAGCTTCTCACTGTTTTCCCTGATTCCCGGCTAAGCAATGTTGAATTAAGCAAAGCCGAGCCTAGCGCCCGAGCCCACCAGCCCACTAGCCTGCGTGGCTAGGAATGCCTATGTCCCTATGTTCCAGGTGCTTCATGATTGCTAGATTGCATCTCACTGACTTGACCTACATGCAGCACATAGTGGGACCCAGCCTCGTCGTTCCTCCAGTACGTATACGTCGGTGCGCTTTCCTTCTGCTTGAAGTTTGATCCTTCATGTCGCCAAGTTGTCCTCGTCCAAGAATGATGGGCAACCGAACAATTCCCTAACCGCGAGTTGATGACTTTGGAAATGCTGATCTTGGAGCTTCAACAGTACTGATCGGAAAGATAACCAAGCTTTCCATATTAAATCTTTCATATCGAGACTGTGGCAGGGCTTTTTGACCTCTCAAACCTCACTGATGCCTAGGGTTCGTCCGAGGAGCCTCCAAATTTCTATTAAAAAGCTGTTGAGGATGTGAAAATTGACACGAATGCTTACGACCCTTCGCTCGACAACTACAGTGACAATCCCGACTTCAAAGGCACCACTGGCGTCTGTGACCGTTGCAGGCGAATTAACTGGAGGACAATATGGTTGATCGACCTGGTTTCTGTCAATGAGGACTTACGCAGGTCTGCTCAGCAAGCTTTCGAACCGGCTCCTCAGAAGCATGGGCCAGTCCAGGGTATTGGCACGGGCGAGGGTACAGTCGATGCCTACAGTAACGTTCACTGGATAGTACCTGTGTTTGACCCAGGCGAGGTGCCTGCCATTGATTCTCAGACCTGTTCGTTGTGTAGCTACCTTGGTTCGCTTGCATATTTTGGCACAGATGACGCTGCTGTTGAAAGATGGTATCTAGGATTATCCACGCAGCCTCTGGCGCCGCGTCACCTGTACCTAGTTGGCAGATCCCGCTCCTGGCAGCGTGATACGCTGATGAGAGGCGAAATCCTCTATTCAGAAGCAGCCATCTCCAAATCCACAGCCTCATCGACTGCCAACGACATCCCGTACAGGCGCTCAAGTGTCGAGCTCGATTGCTGTCTCCAGGAAATTGCGGACGACAATGAAGTAACGATTTCGACCGCTAATATTCCCGACATGCTGTTGATCGATTACTATGACAGAAAAATTGTACCAGCTCCCGCAGGAGCAGTCTACATGGGCCTCAGCTATATCTGGGGTCCAAAGCAATGCTCCAAGGATCCTTGTCACCCCGGCTGGAGAGATGAATCCACTCTATCTAGCCCGGACTATTGAGGATGCCGTGACCGTTACCAAGGAACTCGGCCTGCAATACCTATGGGTAGATAGGTACTGTATTGACCAGACGAACTCAGCACATGTCAACCAGCAGTTAAGTTTGATGCATCAGATTTTCAAAACTGCCCAAGCAGTTATTGTAGCGTTGGGTGATGATGATGAGGCCGGTCTCCCAGGAGTGGCTTCTGTCCCGCGAGTTCCCATCCACTCCGCGAGGACGCCTAATTCAAAACTACTCGGATTTGGTCCGGATCTGGGTGCTTTTATCAGCTTTCAGATCACAAGACAAGAGCTTGGACTTTCCAGGAATCGCTGCTGTCAACGAGAATGCTCTGCTTCACACCTACACAGGTCTTTTTGACTTGCAGGCACGGTTCGTTCAAAGAACTTTTGAAAGGCTCTCTGCATACAATACTGCCTGTTGAAGTGGCACAAAGCCATGGGCAGGTCCGCTCCCCCCCTACAAAGGGCAAACTTGGTCGGCTATTAAGATGCTAGGCCATTCGACCTGAATGGTTCCATCAATGAGTATTGCAGCCGGCGGATGACGAATGAGATAGATAGCCTGGATGCTATCAAAGGCTACCTGGCAAACTCAGGCATTAAATGTGTGCACAGCATCCCGTTCTACCCACCAAGAGCGCAGAATTTCGAGGGTCAGTCCATTGGAGACACAACCAGCGCGGGAGCGGGCACAGGACTGACTTGGTTATGTGCAATTCAGCCAGTACCAAGTTCATTCTCACAGGCTCAGGTGGACGGGAGTCTCTGTTCCAAAGCACCATCGTGGTCATGGACCTCATGCAGACCTTTCGCCCACTCTCGGCCTTTGCCGCCTATTGCTGGTCACGAATGTGACCACTCCTACATCATTTTCAGCGCGGAGAAATTGAGTTTGGAAGATGGGACAGGAAAATATGAAGACTGGGTTACCTCAGTAAAGCCAGATCTGAACTCATACCACTTTCTGCAGGCCACCACACGTTTAGTACCGTTCAGTATTAGGCCCCAAGCCCTTTCCAACAGACAGGATACCGCAGTTATGCTTGATTGGTGATTTCTAGATGATATTCGCGGCCACCTCGATAAATTTGAGCTATTCGCCGACGTCCGAGCTCCATGTTCTTGTCATGGAGATCTTAACTTACCACGAGCACATACCACGGGCACTGGAGTCATACAAGGAACGGCAGCACTTCTTTATATTGAGAAGAGCGGGAAACCCCGTGACCCAGCGGTAGGACATTGGCTAGCTCTGAGGCAGAGATCCTCCAGTGAGCCAATGCGAAGGATTGGCCTGATTATAACTACCTTGAACTGTGATCCTGTTCCTGACCCGTTGGTGAGGCAGCGCGCAGTGGCGCCAGGGACGGGAATTAACCTCGATTGGGACATGTTTAGAGAGGTGTTAAAAGCGGACGTGAAAGCCGATGGCCATGTAGGGGCTGTGAGAAGTAGATGAACCAGCAAATAGATAGACAACATGTTCCCCGAAAGTCCCTTGCCCAATCCGAGACGCTGGGGGGAAAGTCGAGAACGGTCTATTGCGTTGTGCGATTGTCCAGAGTCTCGTCTCGAGAGCCAACAAACATAACCTGGATCATCATTCAGAGCCATGTCTGTGCACAAATGCTTCGAAGTTGCATACAAATGAGGCATCAGGATCAAGCGTAGTACCCTCTGCGTCGTCGCATGAGAAGAGACGACCATGGTTCCTCCTTATGAAAAATGCGGCAATCACTGAAAGTTCCACCGTATCAGGTACTACGGGGAAGCATCTTAGCCCCTGCAGGCCATCTTCTCGCCGATGAGGTGGTTTCGGCCCCAACAGCAGGAACAGCAAAATTGTCCACATGGTCACGCGCTCAGCATCCCTCGATCTCCCTGCATTCATTCGACATCCATCTATTCGGAAAAAGACCACAAGATAAATAAAGCCAGCAGACTTGATGAATGCGAAGGCATAGGTGCTCAACCAGGCTGAGGCCAAGCTTCAATCGACGGCATCAAAAGGTCACATCGTGCACACAATGATGAACTCAACCTCCGTCTGGCCAACAATGAACCCTTTTATTGGTGCCTTCTGTCACTTTATTGGCCTGGATTATTTCTACGAATGGCAAAGATGGGGTAAACTCGGCCATTTTCTCTCTCTCTGTGGACTGGTTGATACCAGCAGTGTTAGGCAGCTGCATTGGAACATCAACACTTGGACTGATGAGGAGGTCTTAGCTTGGAAACAATCTTACATGACAACATGCTCGTCAATCGAGGTCGCCGTAAGGATCATCCAATGTCCTGGGCGACGTCCACCGAGTTACTCATGATTTTAGGGTGCCATCTTCGCCAGTGTTGGACTTACTGCACTTCAGCTACCAAATATGGATTCAACCCATTGGAGTGCCAGGGCTCTTTTGACGTGCTCTATGATTTTGGGGGTGTTATCGGTCGTTTTTGCAGCATCTCAGCAATCCGATATTGGCATGCTTAACAAACCACTAGACATTCGGCTCTGGCTCAGCCGTGGCAAGGTCGAGCTCGAGAAGCGTCATTACCGCAAGCCGTTTATCCTCCTCCCTCTGGAGAGCTCTGTTGCTGCTTTGAAGCAATTCGACTTGCCCAAAGTCGTGCTCAATGTGGCTGTCTTGTTTTATATCATCGGGCTCGGCATCTACCTGCTCTATTCATGGCTTTATCACGTCGAGCCCGACGGCGGACGCGACGACTTCCGAAACATTTTTATCACTTTCGTTGCGACAGTCGGCGTTGTCTACCTCTATGTCATTGTCATTGGCGGGCTTGCTTATGCCGACAACCGCAAGCGCACGGAGGACTTTAACCTCGACAGAACCACCACTTTTGCGAAGCCGACCTCCCAGGTGCAGTTGGAAGAATGGCTGAAGGCACTGCAAGATATGCAGAGCATGACGTTCGAGTCTGGAAATGTCTACATCAGACTGGAGACGGCAGTGAATGAATTGAAATCAAAATGGGAAACGGACAGACAGGGATTGGAAGAAAGAAAGAAGGTCATGCGAATGCAGAAGAAGCGGCGTGCAAGTGCGGCGCATAATGCATGAGCAGCTTGATTCTTGGGTTGCTATTCGCTACGTTCTTCAGGATTCTGGCTATAGTGCCTGCAACGCAACGGTAATTTACAGCGGCTCTAGATTCCCAACCTTGCACGAACTTGCGAGTGAGCCGTATTCGTTTCTCGATATGATTATCGCAGCACTGCTTGACACAATGCCGGCTGTGAAGCCAACTTGGGGGAGTGCAAGGGAAAAAAGAGAAAAATTGGACGAAAGAAGCACCGTTTCCAACCAGCAACATAATCAGTGGATGGCCCGCCAACGGATGGATCGTGGGAACTTCTGGGCTACACGCATGTCCGCCAGCATCAGTTATCCGCTTATGTGCGCCAGCGTCCACAGCATCCTGGCCTTGTAACTGATGGAATAGCTCTCGCCCCGACGTCACATACTGCGCTATTCTAACCAAAGGGAAACCGATACACACCCGCCTACTAAGGAATCTATATTTAATGCTCGAAATGCTGCCTTCCTATAGTGAAACACATTCTGGAAGGCAGAGGATTCAGCGACGAAGAAGGTTGGAAAGTGACCTGAAGTGGGCGGGGCCCGAGTCGTGGTAAAAACCGAGAGAACGGGAAGGTTGCGAATCGAGATGGTCGACGTTCCCTGAGTGGGCAGATTGCAGAGCTGGGGTCCCTAGGGCGTCCTTGACGATGATTTAAGCGGTTGTGGTACGAGAAGTTTCCTCATTAGTGCTGGCGTGTGGAACCCTCGTCTAATCCTCTGAGCGGCTTTATGGGCGTCGTGGAGGAGAGAACACCTTGTATGACGACGGATCTCCTATCCTGGGGGCAGGGTCGGAAGATCAATCGATGTACTAGGAAACGGAGCACCTCTTTGCTCACGGCATCTCGGCAGATGCATATCGACTCGTCTCTGTCAATGCTAACGGGTTCGCCGGATTCGGCTATCTCGACAGCTCACCTAGTCGCCTCGTCCAGATCCTCCTCCGCTAGACCTAGGAGCGCATTCGCTGTGACTCTGGCCGATTCATAATCACCGCCTCCATCGCGATAAAAGACCCGCGTGTACCGAAGCCTCACGAACCCAGACATATCCCCCTTTTGCATGTTTTCCACGGCTTTCCTGTACCGCTCCTGCGCGTTCCCGTGTTTGATGGTCCAGTCCCCATCCCTTGCGCCGGTTACTCGGAGCACGGAGGCCAACATGTCGCGCTGGCTCAGCAGGAAGGAGGAAATATAACTGGGTTTATTTCTGAACTGGGAGAGGCTCGGACTCGTGTTGTGTGCGTCCTCGGGGAGGACCTTGAGGCTGAACAGACTTGCCACAGCACGTCCGCATTGATCCCAGGTGCTGGTGTTGATCTTGGTGGTGCCCTCGTCGAAGAACGTGACTGTCTTGGTCGTGAAGTCAAACCCATACCGGCAGTCCTCGCCCGCCAGGCTGAACTCGTACCAGAGGCCGCACGTCAGGCCGACCCAGAAGAGGCCCCGACTCTCAATGTACTCGCAAGTCTTGATTAAGGGCCCCGCGATCAGGACGTCCTTGGCAAGCGACGCGTTTGTCTTGTCGATCCCGTACTCATTGGGCATCGCCGGCTTCGGCGGCCGTGTTGATCAGGTTCGACTGGACCTCCTTGGGCGCCATGACGGCCATCGTGATGATCAGGACGTCCTGACCCTTGAGAACCTCAACCAGCGCTGCGTGGTCGTTGTAGTCTACCTTCTTGACGACGAGACCCTCTGCCGGCTTGGTGGTGCTCTCAGGTCGCGTCAGAGCCGTGACCTTGTGCCTTCCTGTCTTCAGCAGTGCTTTGGTCATGCGTTTGCCGATCCTGCCTCCTACCTAATAAACCATTGTCACTATTTTATTTCTTCATTAAAGGCGTCTTCCGAAAAGTCAACCCCTTGGGACGTGTGTGGAACCAAAGCAAGGAGCCTCGAGAGTCTAACATAGTGAAAGGGCTTGACATGACTTACGCCGACAATGGCAATGTTTTCGACGCGGTTCTTGAAGCCCGCGGGCTGGCCCTTCGCATGTTCCTGCTGCTGCTGAGTCATGACTCGACGAGGCCCTTTGGTGGTTTGATACTGATAGAGAGGTGTGTCGAACTTGAGGAAGAGGAAAAGAAGAAAGAGAAGGTGAGAACAAAACTTCTGAGGGGGAATGATAGTCGAAGCCTCTCTCTCTCTCTCTGTCTCTGTCTGTGTGTGTGTGTAGTGGCCAAAACCGCTCCTTGGAGCGTGTTTCATTTATAGTTTTTCCCCCTTTCCTTCTCGCCGGACGAAAGCGAACCATCTCGTCTCGAGATCCCGCCGGACATAGACAACATACCACGATATACCATGGCGTCAACGCCGCTCTGCATTAACTCTGCTCCCAAGGCCCGGTCCGAATGCACATGTTGATACCCATGTTGTCCAGCACAGAATTATATGCATTTACCCCCAAACCGGCAAGGCTGTCGACGATTGGCGGGAAAAGGGGTGCAGCTCTAACGAATAAGAAAGACAGAGCCCAAGCATCAGACGAATGCGGCCGCGCGGATTACGATGCCGGGGTTAGCGCAATCTCGTGTATGAGCCTGAGCCTTGTTAACTCTTGTGTAGTGTTGTTCCGTGCGAGTCCCAGCTCCAGCACCACTCCATTTCGCACTCTCTAATCTCCGTCGGATATAGCAGTTCAGCTAGTGCGCTTCGAGGCCCTTACCGATGCCCATTCGCGAGACTTGATCCGTCTTTTCGGCGCTCTGCGGAACGCAGGATGGACTACGACGGAGGGGGATTTTTGTCACTAGCTTGCTGGTTCACTTGCTGGCTTCCTCTGTCGAGGGAGGGCGCAGTGAGCAGCAGCAGTGATAGAGTGGAGAAATTCTTGAACGGCTGGTCCAAGACTCAGGGCTTCTTTTTCATGTATTTTGTATTTCTGACGATTATTAGGCTCAGGTCGGTCAACCGCTAAGATGAGATATCGTAGTCATGTCTATCCACTTCTTGCTACATACCAGATGCGAATATCCGGTCAAGTGTACCGTGTGGGTGTGGCGAGTCTCAGACCATCGCAACCACGACCTCCCACGGCCTCAGTAAGATCGCCCAACCATTCTCGCTGTCTTTCCGCACCTCATTGAACCCTTCACCATTTCGCGTGTAATTGCGGAAATCCGGCAGAACGGCACTCTTATTCAATCCAGCATCATCAAACAAGACCTGTTCAGCCCGACCTGGGGGAGTCCACCATACTTTTTCGCCGGAGAAGTTCGTAACCACAAGGCACGTTCTTAACTTGGCGGTATTTGTGGCCTGCGAGTTGGGACTTTCTGCAGCATCATCCGTCCTCAGATAGGCAATGACGTTTCCAAACTCGTCGTCCAAGTCGAGCATCTCGAAATCGCCGTAGACGAAGATGTCCTTGTATTGCCTGCGGAGCTTGAGCGCGCGCTGCCAGTAATGAAATGCGCTGTCGTTGTCTGCAAGCTGCGCCTCAGCATTCCACTCCGCAAAATCAGGATGTATGGACATCCACGGTTTTGCATCCTTGGGAGCATCATCAGGAAGGAACCCAGCGTGGGTGTCTGCGTCGGCAGCCCACTGCATCGGCGTCCTAGCGTTATCGCGTCCGACAAGCCGATATTGTCTTTTGTAGGCGGCTTGTTTCTCCTTATCATGCGGGAAGTCTCTCAGCACTGTCTTCCAGTGATTGATTACCTCGATGTCTTTGTACTCATCAAGGTCCCAAGACTCTGGCACATTGATCTGGGCAAGTTCTTGGCCCTGATAAATGAAGACGGTGCCAGATAGGAGACCCATGTGTGCAGCAAGTAGCTTAGCTGACTTGGCACGGTGCGCATCGCTCTCATCGCAGTACCGGGAAATTGTGCGTCCTTGGTCGTGATTCTCCATAAATACAGCATTCCAGCCTGCGTTTTGGAGCATAAATGTCTGCCATTTCGCGACGATGTGCTTCAAATTTCGCGGGTCGAAGTCCTGATGTTCCCACTTCGAACCCCCGGGTCTGATGTCCATACCAACAATATCGAATTGGAAAACCATCGCAAGCTCGCCACGGTCTTGCCCCACGGCCTTGAGGATTTCTTTAGTGTCCTTAACACCAGGCATTTCGCCCACTGAAAATGCGTCGTATTCGCGGAGAATCGCACCGATTTCTCGGAGGAATTCATGCAGTCGTGGACCGCAAGCGAAATATTCGGCGCCAGATTGCAAGAAACCGGGCTTCGTGATTTTTCCATCGGGTAAGCCTGGTTCTTTGGATATGAAGTTAATAACGTCCATTCGGAAGCCGTCGACCCCACGATCGAGCCAGAAGCGTATCATGGAATGCACTGCGCGCCTGACTGCCGGATTCTCCCAGTTCAGGTCGGGCTGCGCACTTGCAAACAAATGCAGATAATATTCGCCAGTGGCCTCATCGTAAGTCCAGGCAGACCCAGAGAAAGCCGATTCCCAGTTGTTGGGCGGCATGCGGTTGCCATTGCCATCGTAACGAGGTGGACGCCAAAAATACCAATCACGATATGGATTGTCTTTCGAGGAGCGCGATTGTTTGAACCATTCGTGCTGATCTGACGTGTGGTTGACGACTAGGTCCATCACGTATTTCATGCCACGATCATGCAAGCCCTTGATAAGCGCATCATGGTCCTCCATTGTGCCATATCCCGGATAAATGGCACGGTAGTCAGAGATGTCATAGCCCATGTCAACTTGTGGAGATTGTAAGATAGGACTGAGCCACACAATATCCACCCCAAGGGTAGAGATGTAGTCGAGCTTTGAGATGATGCCGCGAAGATCACCTTTGACAGTGCCCGAGGCCTTGTCCACCGTGCAGTTAGCCGATCTGAAAGACGCTGGGTAAATCTGATAGACCGATGATTCTTTCCACCAGGAACGGCGGAGGGGCGGCTTCAATCTTGTAGTTTGTGATGTGTCTGCCATGATGGCCTGAGCAGTCGATAGTGCTTTTGTGAGAGGCCTTTCCCACTGGAGGTTGCCGTTACGCTCGATGTTGTCCGGAAAGATGGTGGCTTATTCTACAGACACAGGACGCGATCAACTCCCGCCGAACGCGGAGCGTACTGTGTTCTTTAAAGGTAGGAAAGGCTTCATCACCGATGCAAGATTAGTCCTTTTATGGAGCTTGAGATTTGACCGTAAAGGAGCTTTGTCAGAGTCGGCCACATTTCCCAAGGCGGCGATCAGTCCCCCCATATGCTTAAGGAACCCAGAAGATCAAGTTGGCGCTAGAACCGAGGTGCTGAATGATGCGTCATGTCACGCGGTCACAAGTCGAAATATTCGCTGGGAGTGCGGCTATTTCGAGGTGGTGCAGGGATAGGCATGCAGGAATCTCCCTGGTGGCCGAGAATTTCTCCGAGCTTGAATCAATTGCGATCCCCCCGTTCAGCATGACCATGGGTTTAGGGTATTGTTTTGTAAAGGAATCCTGCCTTTGAGACTGGAAGGGATTCGTTTGAGGGATGAGGGGGAACGGGGGCTCGTCTGGGGGCAATACCAAGACGGAATGTTCGATACTGGGTACAGAAGTGCCTGGTGAGCCGGGACAAACTTCGGGGGCATGGAACGTAATTCTTGGCATACGTCACCGCTCTGAATGTGAGGCTCTGCGTCAGCCTTGTCACTACGGGAGCATGGGAAGTGTTGAACACGAAGGCTGGAGCTACGTAGCACGCGTCGCCCTTGTGTACTATTCCAGCACAGACGAACGGCCTGCTAACGCTGGGAGCATAACATGGAACCAGCGTCGTTCTCAGGCCTCTTCATCCTGACAGGCTATTGAAAGACGGGCTTAGTGTGAGCCTTACCAGAGCAACATGATCAAGCAACTTCAAAGAGGTAACGCTGTTTATTTGATCTCTTTCACGCTATCTACACGGATTGCAGGTGGAATCAGCTCGTGGAGCAACAGCTCGCCATTCCACAGGTCATTCTCGCGTGCTCGGCGAAGAGCATAGGCCCAAGTCTACTCAGTTCCGGTTGCTAGGTGTCTCTTGGACACTCTTTTCAGAGCCAAATCTGGGTTCACGTCGATGAGTCAGGTGTCATTCACGTGCGTACTGATGGAGGCCCATGGCTGTTCTAGTATATAGATATCTCCCGCGAAGAGACACAGGCGCCGATCTCAGTTGGTATCGTAGCTGGAACGGTCCCCTATCAGTCACTAAAGTTGTGCTGAGGCCGTCTGGCGTAAGGGATCTCCGCCTCAGGTAGGAGAGGCTCTCGGGCCTCCTATTCCATCCCAGGCTCAGGGCAACTCTGCCTAGGGAACGTTTGGTTACGCCACATGTCATGGAAAGTGGTATTGTAACAGAGCACTTCAAGGTTCGACATGCGCGTGCAACAACGCACAGAGGCCTGTCCAGTAGGTCGGGAATCGAGAACGCGTTTCTGGTTGGCACTGACAAGACAACACCACCACCAAAACCACCCAGAGAGGCAGCGGCTAGGGCTACGAACACCTAGCACAGCGGCAGCATCGAGGAACAGGACAGGATTGATAAAACACTCATGAATTAGGTAGATGGCACCAAAAGCCACGGAATTGATGATACTCTGCTCAAACTGTAAAGAATGGTTCTCTGCCAGCAACGTGAACTGTTCCGCACTCCCCTCCCCCAGCCCATTTTGGTTTGACATGTGACTAGACAACTTCTCCCCCTTTGCTACCACTCTACCAGCCCAGCACATCACTGCACAACCGCTTTGCCTTGTTACAGTATGATTTGGTCCGAATCTATAAAAACCCGCAGAAATTGGTGAAAGATGCACTCCATAAGGTTTGTGCTTAGGTTTATCGCGAATGGCCTTGCTTGCAATAGCCCCTCGTAATCAATCATTCCATTGTAACAAGGCAAAGTGGTTGTGCTGGGATAGTATGGGGAGGTAGCAGGAAGGAGAGTTGTCTAGTCATTCGTCAGACCAAAATGGGCTAAGGGGGAGTGAACAGTTCACAGTGTTGGCAGGGTGCCATTATTTACAGATTTGACAGAGTATTCCATGTTTTTGATGTCGTCTACCTATTCCTGAGTGTCTCATCGGCTCTTTTCTACTTCTCAATGCCGTCACCGCGCAAGGCGCTCGCTGCTATAGCCGCTGCCTCTCTCGGGGCGGTATTGGTGGTGGTGTTGCCCTGTCAGCGTCAACCAGAAACGTGTTCACGATTTCCGACTTACTGGACAGGCCTCTGTGCGTTGTTGCACGCGCATGTCGAACCTTGAAGTGGTCTGTTACAATATAAAGCGCCGTGCAAGCGGAATGAAAGAAGTACGATTCCAAGCATCTAGGTTGCCATCCTGGTTGCCGAAATGAAACTTCGCAATTCGCTCCCGTAGGTCAGGCGCCCAAGGACTGTCCCATCAACCACAGCGGCAATAGGGTTGGATCATTTCCATCGTCTAATAGTGGCATTGATATTCGTTCTCCCGTCCGTAGTCCGGTCAAGAGCGCGTCAAAGTCAAAGTAATCAGATACCCAGGGGTCATCTTCTTTGATTCTTCGAGAGGTGAGCAACTCTCTTTGGAGGGCTGCCCAGACATGACCAAGTTCGTTGCAATTAGCAAACTGTGAGGTGTACTCTTTTTCGTCCCAGTCCTCATCCCAGAATTCAGAGCATTCCGCCGAACATTCCAAGGGAATGACACCATGTTCGCGACTTGAGTCCGAATCGTGGCTAGGAGAACCTTGATTGATACCGTCTAAGGAATCTAGGTCGGAATCGAGCATGAATTCCTCGTGCAGCAGCTTTGTTTCGCATAATCGGGTGCCAGCGGACTCAACAGGGCAGAGAATGTGACAGAATATGTGCTAGCCCCGTTGTAACTCCACAGACCATCCATCGGTAGATGGCAACCTTTCGGCGAGATCAATGGCCCTCAGATCCCCGTGGGAGCAGCGGGTGCCATCGTCGATTCCCAGGAGCAAGTCGACAGAGACAGCAACCCTAGTCTGCGGGTCCATTTTGTTTGCCAACGTACACAGCAAAACAGCGATCATGCCAAGAAGATCTTCGCCTTCGCACCCGCTTCGAGCCAGTTGAAAAGCTGTCAGGACGAGAACATGGAATAGCGAGAGTTGTAGCGACAGACCGCAGCCGAAGCATCGTTTCGCCAAAAAGTCCACTTGACTGGCCAAGGAGATCACACGCGCGCAAGGCATAATACAGTGGTACACCGCTAGAATGGAAGTATGGCAGAATTTGTGTTTCCATTTGAGCGGAACTTGGGGTTTTCCAGACTGTAAGAGAACTCGAAAGCATGGCGAATCATCATCCCAGCGTCCACACAAATCAACCTCGATCCCCGCAAAGCGCGATTCCTGCGTCAAAGTGTCATCTAGGATGTCTGGTGAGCTGCTCGAATGCCCTTTTAGAATGGTCATATCAAATTGTCAAGGACTGTATGGCCATGCTCGTTGGTGTAGGAAGTGTTCGGTCTTCGAAGCTTTGAACAAAGAGTTTCGAGGATAAGACAGCGGGTCGATCCGCCGTCGAGGTAACTGGTAGCTATATGTAACGGATAAATCGGTTTCGCATCAATGGCTCGAGCGTTGACTTATGTCAACATCTCTTCCAAGAGTGGAATATTTCTAGCCATGATGCTGAACGACAACGATTCTAGCAAGAGCTCATTAGGTGACCTCTTGACAGCCTTGACAATTTGCGACATAGCTAGGGGGAGTTTGTCTGCTGCAATATTGCTGAAATCGTTGTTTTCGAGGGCATTTTCAGCTGCTCTCCCAGGGGGGATGCTGGAGGGCTTTCAGGATTTGGATTGCTGATGTCGTCGTCGAACTCGACTTCGTATGCTTCATCAATATGGATAGACCAACGGCAACGTTGTGGCGGTCTTCGAACCTCTGGAGTTTCTTCGTGGACTCCACATCTGAAGGCGAATCAATGAACAGAGTCGGAGATGCTGCAGATGGGGAGCTGCAGAGACCTTCATAAGTGTCAAAGTCTAGGTTGTGCCTAGCCCAGGTCCGTGGTTCTTGACCCCAGTGTTTGGATGTCGCAAAGGCAAACAGCCAGAATTGGTACAGCCAGCTCGACATCGTAGCTTTCTCTGTGCTGTTCAATGTCTTTGCGAGATCATCGAACCTGCCATGCAGGAAAAGGTGTGTCCGATCCAATGCTATGGCTTCTGAGACAGCAGCAGAAAATGGTGAGGACTTGTCATGCAGAGAAGTAATTTGTGTGGGAGAACCGCCAGTAGCCGAGGGCGTCCAAACAACGACGGCGTCCGGGGTCGTGACAGGAAGCTGAATGGAGGTGTGTATTTGGGAGATTGCGACCATATAACCCTGCTGGTTGCCAATGGTATGTTCCAATTGAGAAATATATGATTCATCAGTACGATTCTTGCCGGGGGAGCGTTGGTATCCACAACATTTTGTTACCGAAGAGTGGGAAGCGCCCAAAGACTTGGGACTGGTGATTCAGCACGACGAGAAGTACTGTCCAAAATCGTGTACTCCTGCCTAGCATTGGCTTTGGCTTGTCGTTTGAGTTTCTTTCTATCAATCTTGGAGCCAGCAACCGTTGCAGTCGTAGATTTTCCCTGCATAGCTCTTGCCTGCGCCCGTTGCAGATTGAGATTCTTTGTGAGTGAAGAGACGCTCTTTGTCCAACCCCACCGCTTGAAATGATAGCGGTAAGACGCTTCGATCGATTTAAGCAAGATCAGCCTTTGAAAACAAGTGCTCCCGGAACAGACCCACTTTGCATTGAAGCCGTGTTGCTCCCTCATGATACTTGCTATGTCTTTGACCGTGTGAGTACGGAATAAGGCCTGGAGGATGCCTGCAAGGAAGGCCGCCTCGATTGCGGTTCAACGAGGCGGCTATCTGCGTCCGAGTCCATGGGTATTTCCATGGGGAGCTGCGTGAGGTAAGCGTTTCAAGTCTGCTAGGGTTGTTGAAGATTTTAGAGGCAGAATGTAGAAACAGGAAACAAGGAAATGAGAAGTAGAGCCAGACTGCCGGTCGGAGACGGAGGCGATACACGGTATAAGAGGAAGAAAGAAAGAGCAAGATGTTGCACACGATAAGGCTGTGGACATGGGTGACGGGGGACTCAAAGGATGAGGATGGGAGGCGTGCGAATAAGCAATACGAAACTACGTTGGAATACCAGGCTGAAAATTAGCGGCATGCGGCGAGCAAGAGAATGGTACATCGTGTTACACAAAGGCAGCCTTCCCATGTTTGCCTTGTTCGTCGGTTTGGTCGGGAAGGCAGGAGGCTTGAGGTCAAATCTGGCAATGATGCCAAGAGAGACAAATGAGCACTGGCCAATGGGCGAGGCCGAGTGGTTCCACTCCGCATTGGCCATTCTGGCCTTTCATATGTTAGGCACATTTCGGTCAATGCGCTGTTCACACCCCGACCTTACAAGATGCAAGGTTAATGCAGACAAAACTGTACCAGCCAATGCGAGCCTTCCAGCTTGACCGTGGCTGTTCAACTACCTGTCGCAAGAAATCCCTTTCATTTCGGTCCGCATCGTTGCAAATCATGTACTGTTTGGGGGATTGTTGACAGGGTCGCGAGAGCACCACTGGGGCAAACCACCTGAGACGCTAGCCGCTTTACCAACTGTGCAAACTGCCTTAACCTCGTTGTTCCTGCAGACCTGTGATAGGATGGCGACGGAATAGGAGGTTTCAGGATCGCTCTTATGGTTACAGGCCAATGTATATATAAACAGGCAGAGTCTCTCTGAATAGCCAGGGGGACAGAACACAATCAACCAGACAGGTCCACAACTCAACCTTCGTGCAACAGGGATGTTGCCGGTGCGCTTTTCACACTATTATTTGTTTGCAAAATTCCCTTCGGCGCCATGCGCAGCCTCTTGCCGAGCGAGAGAAAACCATACTATCCAATCACCATCCAATCACTTCCCATCAACCATCAAGCTATTAGGTTTTCTTCGAGATTATGCTACCTACACTGACTGGCCTCTTCGTTCTTTGCACTCTATCGACTCGACCGTTTTGCCCAGATGGATGAAGCCAGGAGGCTTCGACAGGCGTCCACTGATCAGATATCAGAGGGCGCGATTTGAGTTAGGTATGGGACGACTATAAAGTCGAGAAATCCCTTCCTTTCACTCCATTCCCCTTGTTCCTTTTGTCCTGTCCACAGACATACATCTTGCGGCTGATACTGTTTTTCTACTTGCTTATTGCTTCCTGCTTCTTACTTCTGACCGTACCTTCTCTACCCAGAGTTCATCCGACCTTGTCGATGGCGTCCGATACAGCGAAGACATCCCCAACAGCAGACACTCAGCTGCCAGTATTTAGGCCCATTTCCACTTAGTCCTCGCAAACTGCTAACAGTGCGTGCAGGCAAGTGATCTGCATGCTCATGATCTTTTGTCGGACCCAGCCAAACCATCCGTAGTCCCTCGCTTATGCCCATACCGTGATCCTCTTATTTGTCTGTCCTTGCCACACAAATCTCTTCGTGACGCTTGCTATCAGGAACCTACGCAACGCAGTAGGTACAAAGAATTGGAGTAGCTGAATGCCTTGTTCTATTCACGTAGTCCTATTGACAACGACTCAACGCTTAAGAAAAAGGAAGAGTTCTCTCTCAGCCTATTCGGGCGAGAGGAAACTCTTATAGCTTCCTCTCTTTCTGTCACGTGAAAAGGGTAAGGCGGCGTTAACCAATAGCCCTGTGCTTCAACCATCCTTTGCCTTATCCTCCACCCGAATCGGGTGGAGGGCGTAGAGTACTTGGGGACAACGGTGGGCTCGTGACATTCTCCTTCCTTTCTAAAGCGTGCTTGTTTGTCTTTTTAGCTACGTCCAGCAAGGCTTGAACCGTTAAGATTTTGACCGTCGAGGGTGTTAATGGAGGCTCTCCACCCCTAACTTTCGCAAGTCACCTTTTTTGTGACAGAATCGTAGCTATAAGACCTTTTTTGTTTATTGGGATGCGCGGACAACAATGTAAGTAAGTTTTGAACCAAGTTATCTGTAATCGATGCCGAAGATTGAGCCATGATCTCCGGATTCGTCTAGCAATCTTGGATGTTTGGATTTGATGGAGCAATTTACGCGCCAGAAAGTTGATTGGTATTGATAAAGAAGAGAAGTTTCATCTGGATAGAAGAGGCTTAAACTAGTGTTGACGCAGTGCCGGTGGTCTAAGGAATTACCAAATCGGGCTGGCCCAACGTGGATGTTAATATGGTATGAACCTGGACCCCGTCGGCAATCCCCATAGAAACATCAGCGTGCGCAACAGCAAGCAATGTCAATGCGGCCGCTCATCCTGTCGTTCACGAGTGCCAGCTTATCTCATGACGTTGGGATATTGTTGGCCAATAATGATCAAATGTCTGTCTAGCTGAAATGGAATACGAGAGCTCCGCCGGCCTTAGGCTGCTGTGAATGTTCCATTTCATCCAATCATGTTTTGCAGAACAACGCCGTCAGACTCCTCATTCTAGAAGATACAAGATGTGCCCAGGCACCGCTCGTCCTGGTGGTGGTACGTGGCGCAAGATGCTGGTTCCAGATTTCGGGATGTATTTGGTCAACTCGAGCATGACTCGTTTTTGTACGATATTCTTTTGGCTGTTAAGACGCCCCAACCCGTCCCGCCTAATCTAAAGGGAAAATCATGTGCACAACACCATTTTCCTCGTCTTCGCTGGAGTTGGCAAGGATATGATGGCAAGAGTAGACCGAGGAATCTATTGAAACCCATCTTCGACGATGCTGGATACGTATTAATCACCAAGTCAGGGCGAAGAAAGAAAGAGTCATTTGAATTTAAGCGATGCAGAGATCCTTTTTGGCAGCAAAGCCGAATAACTAAATATAAAACAAAGGGCGAAATATCCATATGTGCATAGGGCATGACTTGGTCGCAGAGAAATATCGGCAGAATGGTAATCTGGATCAGGAGAGTCGTTTCCATCACCATTATAGCAGCATTACCTCGGCTCTTACTGACAATGTCTATCTAGGTACTATGCTGAGTTCCATTATGGGTCCTTAACAGAACCCTACAAACACATTGAGAAGAAGACGCAAGTGGGGCCGATAAGCAAACAGTGTATACATGTGGGGTCTGGGAGGAATGTCCCCTAAATGTGTGGCGTATTTCGATTGGAAAGAATGTGCCACCATTGTGCATCTTCGAGGCGGTGTTTGGCATCGGGATCTCTGCCTCTAAGGGACCTCTAATAACCGTCCTTCGTCTTTGGACCTCCACCCGAATACGAGACTGTGGAGGAGGCAAAGGCGCTCGACATTGGTCTCTCCTGGCAGTCGGAGATTACCTTTCTGGCCTCGTCGAAAAAGGACATGATGTTGTTCTTGTTTAGTCCACTTTGGATGGTCTTAGGGACTCCTTGGTCGAAAAACAAGAGCCTGTGGAGGACAGAAAGAAGACTCGTGAAAAATGCTTGCATATCCTCTACCTAGAGAGCTCTGGCTCTCCTCTATCTAGGGGTACCGGGTGTCAAGGCCCCCAAGCTGGCCTGAACCACGGGAAGAGGGAAGATGGTGGAGACCTACCATGAGGTAAGTGCCTACCACAGAGGGCATCATATTTGCTCTATGCATGAACATGTAGCTCGAAAAATTAAAGAATCTAACCCAAACGCCTGAAAACACAGCAAAAGACCCTTCAATCGAGAAAACGCGAAGAGTTTGTTGCCTAGAATCAGAGGAGAGAAGCGAAGGGAAACCCATGCTCGAACTTTTCGAGGACGCCATAGTACGTCGTTTTATTTTGGGTCTGGGTGAGCAGAATCATATTTGTGACGCGGACCAGTGCCCAGATACTTGATAATATTTGTCTATCCTGCTGGATGTCAGTCTATCCTGCTGGATGTCAGTCTATCCTGCTGGATGTCAGTCTATCCTGCTGGATGTCAGTCTATCCTGTCACTCAGCGATGTTATTCCTGTTTATGTCGACATTTTGCCTGTGTCAAAATAGCCAACCTGAAACCTCCTATCGTTGCCATCCACGGCGAGGCCATCCTGCTGTAAATTGCACTTATGATCAAACGAGCCTGATACATGTTCCGTCTCACAGCAGATACCTTTTCCAGACCTGGCGAGGCAGAATATGGTCTACAACGACGCCAGAGACAACGCGACAGGAGAGAACGGATTGTGGACTGTGTTCGACCATGCGACGATTTGGCGTTGGCGCCCAAGCATGCCAAGATGGGATGAGCGCGGGGATTCAGTGAGCAATACAGTCGAGAGATAATGAAGGCGCCATCCGCCTATGGTTGTCGTGATCGATCGTCTGATAGCAGCTTACTTTACGTTCAATATCGTCCTTGTTGAGGATGTTGTCCTCGACGTCTTCTGACTCCTGCAGCCCAAATGCGTATCTGAAAGTTCGCGAGGTTCTGAAGTTCCGTTGGTTTCAATACGAAGAACCGAGCGATATTCCACATCAGATCAGCGGCTCCGCGGCGCCAGAGCTGAACTTTACACTCTCATCAAGCGGACGCATAACGATAACGAAGATGCGTGACGCCGATCATGCCGCATTGCTTCCCCCCCCCCCCCCCCCAACAAACAACGTGCCAGTGTGCTTTTGTTCTCAAGGTCACGGGAACTGGGTCGCCACCAATGCAGGGAATGGAAGGGAGCGATATTGAAAATCCCGAACGGGAGTGGTGTGAGTACGTGAGCATGTCTACTTAATTCGTTGCGTCAGAAGGGGCTCGTGCTATTCCGAACACATCAAAATAAGGCAGCGCGCTGCAGTTCAACCCTTACATCCCATAGTCTATCTCATGAGCTCCTTGTTGTTCCACATCAAGTCCTCTATAAGCGATAGGATTCCACGTGGCTACTGATTCATGTCGTGCGGCAATATCTCTCGAACGGAGTATGTTGTGTGAATTGTTGTAACTGTCTGCATCCTCACCGAGCCAGCTATGGTCGACTGCATAAGTTTTTCTGTCATTCGATCATTCTCGATCTGTATGATGAGCTATCGTGTCTATTACGCGACTGTACCTACTCTTCTGGAAGATATGCTCGCAGCGGTGCCAAGAGGTTAGAGGGCTGTCAGGCAGCCAGCCGCCCTCACAACTTCTGTCGATCTTCCCGATTACCGCATTAAACTACACAGGCACAGGGCATCCGAAGCTGACGGCGACGGTTCCGCCAGGGCCGAAAACAGCAATCAAACCTTCAATAGCTGCCCAGGTACCCATTCCACAGCATGCAAGGCCAAGAAGAATGTAGATGAGTGCAATGGTGCTTCTGAACCAAGTCTTCTTGTAGCCTCTAATCCATCGCTTCAAGCCGTCGTCGTGCCTGATTGTCTCGCGCGTAGCCGGGTTGAAACCTTCGCCAGGAAGTTCAGCAGCCTTGTGGATGATGCTGCTCATGTACATCATGCCTGGAAAGGTGTATGTAAAATTCATCATGAAGACGGCGCCGACAAAGCTGACAATGCCGTTGAGGTTAGGTACCGCCCCAGCCACGACAAATGCGAGAATCCAATAGCATGGCCCCAAGAGGTACCAGAGGATCTTGCCCTTCTTTTCAACAATCGAGGGGAACTTGAAGATGGCCTGGAAAACTTCAAGGTACACTGTCTTCATGCCGATGTTGAAGTACATTATGATAGCAATCCAACCAGAGAGAAGTCTGAGAACGTTACCGGCAGTCTGTAAACCATATGGATTGACAACGTTCACGATGTTGTTGGCAGAGTATTGGCCGTAGAAGGAGTAGACGAAGACACCGAAGAACATGTAGACGATGCAAATGAAGGCCTGGGCAAGAAACATGCCTTTCCAGAAGTCTAGCGGATGTCTCATTTCCGAGAGGAAGGCGACGAAGAGGAGAGCGCCAGCGTATGCGTAGACCATGGTGTTGACAGCGTTGAATGTAGCCGCGAAACCTGGAGATTGCTGTTGGTATTGATCTGGTGGAATGCCAGCAAAGACTTTGATGGGCTCGATAGTCTGGATAAGTGTAGACCTCGTAATTGCTGGGTAGTAAGGCGCAAAGTGTGAAGCAGCCACCATACTGTTGTAACACTGGTCAGCAAGCTATGTCAATGGACAACCGAGGAAGTTGACTGACCAGATGATGAAGTTCACAATGTTCATCCACACGGCGGCATTGGAAATCCATCCAATCTTCCTCAAGCTCCGAATGAATCCTCCAAGCATTCCGACAACCATGATGACAACCATCATCGCCACGAAGCAAACGTTCGAGTGAGCGATCTGCTCAATGTTCAAAGCCTTGCTGAAGATCAAGATGGCCACGGTGAAGAATTGCTGGAGTGATTGGGCGACGTTGATGAAATGGCGCATGTTCACGCCGAAGAGGCGCAAAAATGGATCACCAAAGCTCTGCATTGGGTAGCGAGACGAGTCGAGATCGAGGAAAGTTTTCCAGATAACCCAGCCGCCCCAGGCAGCGAAAATGCCAAAGATGAGGTAGAGAGCTACACCAGTGCCGTATCCCACGCTGGCAAAGACAAACCTATATTGATCTGTCAATCTCGATCCGCCTTTGTCTGAGTCTCGAGGAGTACTTACGGGGCGCCTGACCAACCGAGAATGTCCGTGGTGATGAGGAAGAACATCTGGCCCCAGCTGGCGGTTCGGAGTGCACGAGCAGCATTACGCCATTCCGCGTCTGAGACCTTCAGCGGAGACTCGGCGGGCTGGCCATTGTCAACATCAGTGACAACCCCAGCGGGCTGCTTCTCGTTAAGATGCGCCAAGGTCTGAAGTCTGGCCTCCTTGTCTGCTTTCGCCTTCTTTCGGCCAGCCTTCGAAAAGGCGTTCTTGATCGAGTCGCGAAGGGGAGAGCCGTGCTCGGCCTGGAACACCTTGTTCTCTTCAATCTCCATCTCACGCTCGATCTTGGCCCAGTAGACGTATTCTTCGTACGTCACGGTGCTGTCGACACGAGCGGCAAAACCCCATACGCGCTCCATGACCTGTGGCTTTTCGCTGGGCGAGACAGACTGCTTGCGCATCTGCTGCTCGGTCACCACATCCAGCTCTGGGGCTGGATGTGTTACTGGGGCAACATGCTCCATGGCTGAAAGACTGCGGAGTGACTGAATGAGAGAAACACAGAAACAAGGTCGTGTGCTGTAACGAAAGCAGGGTCGTTGGGGGACCAAGGAACTCCTAATAAGGGGTCACACGATATGGAACTGTCTGATGTTATCCCAGCTATCGCTCCTCACGATGTAACATGAAATGAACACATGAGCAACCGGGCAGTGGCAGTTTAGCCATTGGCAGCCGCTGGAAATTGTGCACGCGGCGTTAGCGATATCTCGTACTCCTCTTGATAACGATGAAGCTTTGCTTAGGTGGCACTCTTGATAAGATGAAGCTTGCCTGGGTCGCACAAGCACGACAACAAACTCTGCTGCGATTGGCGGGGTGATCAATGCGGGTCCATAGGATGAGCGGCCGAGGCTCGTTCGCTGCCATTTCGAACGAACAAAAGAGGGAGATCAGGAAGGTGTACAGGGTACTAGGTAGAGATGCAGCGTTTCATCGCAGGTCGCTAACATAGCGGGACACGGGACACGGTTCGCGATCAGATGGCCAACGCGGGATCTGCACTATAGACTGAACTCACCCCGGACACGCCAAGCACCAGCCATTCCCGAGCGGGAAGGTGATAAGCTTTCCAAGCTTCCAATAGCGGTGCCAAGCTTCCTTCGACTCATCTTCGGGGTTGATCGGAACCCTTGGCAAACCTTGGCAATGGCAAATTGGGCCTTGCCCTTGCCTTGCCCATCGTACAGAAAGACACGCTTCGATTCTAGCGATAAATAAGGTAGTATTGCTAAATATCAAAAACTGGGACTTGGGGGTCAAATGACGGATCTCTAAGAAACATTTATGGCTATACTCATCTTCCTGCCAAGCGGCGCTCAGGGCCGCACAGCTACGGCTAAAACGGCTTGGTCATTCCTAAGGTCAACCGGCCAGTGCTTCACATCTTGAAAGTCTGGAAAGTCTGGAAAGTCTCGAAAAGGATGATAAACGCCCTGCTCCTCTGCATCTGAGTTCTTACACCATCATCTTGAAGAGGTTTACTACGTTGGCGACTTCTGTTATCATTGTTCGGTCGTCGCGGCTGTGATGGCCGGCGCGGAGATGACATTCAGGTTGGGTTTTGGAATGGCTTGCGATGTATCCGAGACAAGGGTTGCCAACTGAATTCACGTTAGCAGGAAATCTACAGGTTCACGATCATTCTGGCCTAGCGGGTAGACATTGGTCGGCTTCACGTCTGCTCCTAGTTTGACTGGGATAGAGACACATTCGCTTTCGCATGTATCCACCGTCCCTGAATTCGGCTGAAAGATCGAATCGTACTCAGTAAGGCTTGCCACTAGCTGTGAGACTGTTTCCCCGTCACCGTAGACTACCCCTCCCATTTGGCAGAGACGTTTCAAACTTCTTCAAATCCTTGCCCGAGTGCTGGTCCTTCCACGTTGCGAGGTAAGCCAAGGCCATCGCGGATCTGGATAGGAGCTTGCGTTTCCAGGTCACTCACTGGCCTGGTGGCCCGTAGAGTGTTAGGTCTGTTACCTCGATACCTCTAAAGTCAGCCAATCAATCTGGCTTTATACACAGCAGTGACCAGAATTGGCACACTATGGGCATATCCAGATTTTGATGGGATAAAAAGGACTCCATTGTCGCCTGCAATGCTTGTCCGATGTCGCATTAGGACAGTGTGGGTAGGGTATGTGGAATGTCGACATTGAGCTGCCGCGGCCAGACCACATCATTGTAGATCGTGTGTCCCACAAGGATATATCGTGCTATACCATAGCAGTTTCATAGTGGTTATGGATGATTAGGAACGCAGGCGTGAGTGAGATATGACCGATTGGCTCTTCTTTCTCTCAGGAGCGTTGGCGTTTCTCGGATTTCTGGGTCTTCTTACCCTTCTTAGCTTTCTTTGGGATGTCTTCTTCGGTCTCTAACTTTCGTACCTATGGAACGCTCGAGAACGGCATTTTTTTTAGAGGGTATCATTTGCATGATGGGAAGCAAGTCAGGTCGTTTGTCTCGGCCGGTCGGATGTTGCCAGCGGCTTGGCCTGGGTGCTAAGCAAGCAGAATCTGTTGAACACAATACAGGAATGGTCAGAGCTGGCTGATTGTGTCTGTCTCTCTGTCTACTCAGAGAGACTCTCTCTGTTTATATACACTTTGGCCTGTGGTCTGAAGGCCTTTCCCGAGGCCTCGACGCCGACGTCATGCCATTGCAGATCGGCGAGCTCAACGGTGTTGAGGTAAGTGGCGCAATTGGTAAGACAGTTAACGTCTCAGGTGGTTTATCACAGTGACGTTCTTGTAACCCTGTCAACGAAACCAAACAAGCATCGCTGCCAGAGTTGTACTGATAGGACGTCGCCCTGCTGTTGTTGCACCATTCATTGAATGTCATCCCAAACGTGATTTGGTGATGGATGAGGACGTTAGAACTGGATGCCTGCAAGGCTCCTTTGACAGCCAGTCAAGCTCTAGATTGATGAGAACTCTTTGCAAGGAAGTATTTCGACGCACATACCCCCTCTACTAGGACATCAACGATGACAAGGCACTTTCATTTCTCGACCTCGTCCCACGAAATTAGCACTGTCTCGCTGCTGCCTAACACTTTGCTGATAACGTCTGTTGGACCAAGTATGGGAGTGTGAATGGTATCTTTGGTATCTCTGTCTCCTGCGCGTTTGAAAACGAAACTTGTTCGTCTTGATTATTCGGTGGTAGAGATGCTTCCTCATGCTATCAACCCAACTACGGATGACTGTGTTAAACTTCTGTGTCTGGTCATAGGAGATTCTGCCGTCCTGCATCTAGTTGCCGTACGAGCCGGATTGTAGGAAAATTATGTTGAGGATGATGCTGTTCGACACTGGTGCCGCGATGGATTTCACGTGGGAGATAATTTCGGCCTCCTTGGCTTGTTTCTTATAGCCCCTACGATAGGTATATCCCGGCGTCCATCTGCCCCCAGTCGACACGCGGCATATGGAATTTCTAGGTATGTTGGTGAATTGGTGAGAGAGAGGAGGTTTTGGTGACTATGCTGGGTTGTGTCAAGAGGGGAGAGGGCTGAACGCTGAGAGAGGAAGTTTCGATGATTTCTCCGTCTTCCTGATCTTGAGCGGATTTAATGTATTTCATGGCATGAATGAGTGAGCTGCCCTCGGCAAGGTCAAGACGCTCACAAAAATTCCGAGGTTTAACATCAAGCTTCCTAAGGCAACAAGCCACATCTTATCACGAAGTCGAACATAGTACTATCCTCTGGTATTCCACTAGGAGAATCATCGGTTCTCTCGTGGTCACGAATACAACTTGTCAGTCGACTTCGAACTTGGTAACAAGATCGCTTCTAAGCAAGTTTAGTCGATTGAGCTTGTGGAAGTTTGGGTATCAGTTGTCAGAGGAAAAAGCTGGTAGATTGACCAAGAAGACACACGAAGCCCTTGCTATTGCTATGCCAGAGTGCTTGGAAGGTGGCCCCAATCCTAATCATGCAATCCAGGCTCCATTTCTTGACCATCCCCTCTTCGAGTGGATGGGCCTCTCTGGCCCTCCAAATCACTTTAAAGATGTGTTTTTGTATCTCCGGCTTCAACGAACCTTGCGACGTGACCGGGATGGCCAGCTACTGGTAGAATGTTAGCAATGGGTGTGTCCGACAGCTGTTGGAATGCGAGGTCCCACCGGTTCCATTTTTCGCCGGGGTAGCAACCGAGGACGCCGGTCTTGACCAACAACGGGAGCTCCAAAAAGGGACGATTCCCTGGTCGGTTGTTATGACCCGTTATACGCAGCTAAAAGACTTGCTCACACATCAGTCAAAGCGACAATCGAGCGGACTGTCAGTCAGATATGATCTTAAATGATCGTCATGCCTCACTTCTTGGAGGGCTCTGGCCCAGTTGTGGAGCTCTTCTCGAGCTTGATTTCGTCTTCCTGGGTGTCAAAGGGTGTCAAAGGGCAGGCAAGTGTCCCCTCCCCGCTCGCTGGGGGTTGGGGAAGGCCTTGGGCGGAGTCGATCAAACAGATTGTATTGCTCGGCGGCAAACGCGTCCAGAAGTCGCGGATACTGGCACTGGTGACCTGGCTGAAGGTTATCATCGTCTGGCAGTCGGTAGCTGGCAATCGATGTGTTCCATTCTTCCGGCTGCACTGACTCTCACATGCCCGTGCCCGAGCCATATTTTTATTCTTATAATCCTTCTCCATTCTCACTATCCCTAGACACCAAATACCCACCTTCGCTTTCGACTTTGTCTAGAGCATGCGCCCCACCACTCATTGCCGCGAGCCGTGGTAAGAACCACTGCATCTCCAGTCATTTACAGTTAGGCAAAGGTTACAGCTCTGGATCGTCGATTTTGAGAGTAGAAATGTCTCCGGAACGGAACACCACGCAGGTCCGATGATCAAATAGCCTTGCCGCGTCTGGAAAGCCAATAGAAATGTACCTGGAGGCGTTTGCTGTTATATGAGAGTTTGATCGGTTTTAGGGCAAAGTAAGCTTTGAATTAAGGCTTATGGGCAGTCGCTGTTAGAGAAGTCAAATTGTGGCATCCTTCTGTTCCTTCGGGGAAGATGGACATATACTAAGTGGAGCATTGACCAGTTAATTGAACAAATGCGTCAAACTCTTCGATAAGAGTCGTTCTCGAGAATAGTAAGCAAGTTCATCAAACGACACTGGCACTAATAAGTCCACTGACGAGTTCCCCGTCTGGACTTATGCTCGCTTACTTTGAGATATCGCTAGGCGCCATGTTTGCTTATACAGATTATGTGTTACAGAAGGCGGTTAAGGAATAGACGAATCGATAGAAGTATTTAGCAGTAATATCCTTCGTATACTCAGCGTATATACAGAGACTCAAAGCCTTGAAGACGGATTGAGTAGAAAAGGGGGGAGAGCGTGCGGTCCTTATACGTTCCTCCCCCGTTAATATCTTAGCCTCTTTGCTGGGTTTGTTCTGTAGGGCTCTGGGATAATTATAGGTATCCTAATATTATGC